TTGTAAAAATTTTAAAGAATATGGGAAAAAAAATCTTTTAACAAAATTCCCTCCTTTTTCTTTTTTGTTTTTTTTTGCCCATTTTTTTTGAAACCCCCCCTTTGGGGGGGTTTTTGGTGGTACAACAAAACCCCCCCCCCCCCCCCCAAATAATTTCCTATGAAAATTGCAGCTCCTCCCCTAAACCCCTCCTAGACCACGTTTTAAGATAATCCGTTTGTCCCTCCTTTCTTTCCAGTAGGCTGCATTGACTTCATAAGCAAAAATTTATTAGCAGATACTTGTTTAGAAATAGTTTATAGGGTCCTAGGCCAAGCTTGGTTACATAGCAGTGAATATGATGGCTACTGGCAGATGCATGAGGGGTAGCCCCACAGGGTTTTTTGCATAATCCAGTAAAGTGGGCTCAATAATTCTACAGGGGAACAATTTTGCTGCTGGCAAGGAACCCTTCGAGTGAATATTTTTTTACAGTCAATACTCTTGAAGGAAACGTGGATTTGAATATAGTTTGTTGACAACTTTTACAGAGAATGTTATATGTAAGTCTTGTATCTTACAATTTCAACCCCCTCTCCTTTTTTGCATTTTCAAAATTGACCCCTGCCCCCCCCCTGCCCCAATTAATTTTTTCGAAAATCATACCCCTTTGCCCTCTCCAACACCCTCCTTTACCTCAACTGGGATGTGATAAATGATTGCTTCCTAATTGGCTTCCCGCATGCTGCGTTAGACTGGGGAGATAGAGAATGTGAAAGTTGAAAGACAGGGGAATAATGATTACGTGGGCTAATATAAAAGAAATAAGGCACTGATGATAGGCTCAATTTTTAAAAATGTCTTTTAAGAGGAAGGGCCTTGTTAACCTCAACCACCACAGGACTTAACCTCAATCAGCAGAGTGCTGGACTGCAGAATGGGAGGTCATGGGTTCAATCTCCAGAACTGGGCCAATAATCAGGGTCTCAAAATAACTAAGAAATGAAGGTACAGTATATGTACTGCCTTTGCCTTGCAAATAGCTAGACTTTCGGGTGGCTCAAATGATCATGTATAAATTGGCAGTCTAGTCTCATAAGTTAGAAATCCGAGCATTATTCTAGTACTACCACATCATGCTAAATATATTGACACAGTTTGCTTTAATGATTGTCCTATTTTAAGCCTGTGGTAATTATATAAATATATTTAATATACAGTGTAAACAGATTGTAATTTTTTGGTTCTGAGTTTTAGCATCTTTTCTGCTGTTATGTGACTCACAAAATGGCTGACTCTGTCCATTAGCATTATATTATTAATTTTGTCTATGAGGAGATTCAGCCAATAAAGACAGACGGATTGAAGTTTCACATATTACACATTGTTTTTGTAGTTTACAATTTAATAAGGCTCATAAAATTGAAATGGTGAAAAAATGTTGACTCTA